TCGCCCCCCCCCTCCCCCTCCCCCTCCGAAGCAAGCGCCAGCTGCTCTGTTTGGCGCCTGACTTGGGTTTGCGAGCGCTGCCCTGCATGCCGGGCACCTCGGCCCCGCGCGCCCGGCCCCTTGCCGTCGCTGCACCTGCAGCCGAAGGGGCCGCCGGCCCGCGCGGGTCGCCCTCCCCTCCCCCCCCGCGCTCTAGAAACGGCCGCGCCTGGCCAAGCAGGGCAGCAGCACGAAAGCTGCGTGTGAGCTGGGTCGCTTCCGCTGCCGCGGGGCGTGCGAGGATAAACACGTGTGTCTGCGCGGAAGAGAGGCGACCAAGGCGTGGAGAGGCGGGGCGTGATCCCGAGGGGCGCTGCGCTGCGGCACGGGCCCTTCCTTTCCTTCCACGTGCCGCGTTTGTGCCGCGGGAGGGAGGTGCAGCCAGCATCGCTGCCCCTTGCCCCTGAGCACGCAGGCAGCTCCTTTTCTCCAGCCAGACAGCTGCGCTGGGGCAGCGGGGCCGTGAGATTGTCTGCTGGGTCCGTGCGTTGTCGCGGGGCCCTGTTCCTTCGCGGTGCCGTCCCCGTGAGGTCCGCTGTGTTTTGCTCGCACGCGCTCAGCCTCTGCCTCTTGCTGAGGGCTCCTTCGTGACGCTAAGTGGGCAGGCCTGTGGGGGCCGGCTGCGGCCGGGCAGCGGCGCTGCAGCCCCCGGGCTGCTCCCGGCCTGCGGTTCAGTGCTGACTTCTGGCTGCGTCTCCGGCATCACCAGGGTCCGCTGGCCATCTGGGAGTGACCGGTGCCAGCCCCGCTGGGGTGGTCTCGTCAAACGCAGCCTTGGGCTCCCCTGGCTCCATGTGAACCTTCGCTCATGTGTCGTGCCTGTCTTTGCTTTCCAGACCCGTGGTAATGACATGGCCTCCGCCAGCTGCAGCAGGGCCGGGGCAGGGCTGCCCTGTGAGAAATCCCAGCTCTCGCTGAAAGGTGAGTGCAGGCCAGGGCCTGGGGGAAGGAGGAGCCCTGTCCAGGCTGGGACACCTTGCTTTCCTGCCAAGGGGAAGGATGTTCCTCAGTCCTGCACTCCCTCCCGGTGCCTGGGAGGAGGTGCGATGGGGAGAAGGCTGGCTTAGCCCCAGGTGCCAGCTGCACTCGGGGATTGCACAGCTAGGTCCTGAGAGGCACAGAGCCTTCCAGAGTCAGATTTAGCAGCTGCCTCTTGTCAGTGCCCTGATCCCAGCACCAGAGTGGGGGATGATCCCTAGCCAGGGTGGGCTTGGCCACAGGGAAGTTGGGGCCCCCGGGCTGGCCCTGGGCAGTGGCTGAGCTGTAGAAGGTGCCTCATGGGCAGGCTTGGGCAGGAGACCTAGGAAGAGCCTTTGTGCTGAGCTGGAGCTGGGGCTCTGCTCGCCCCTCGCTCCACTTGGCAAGTAGGAGGTGGAGCCGGCACTCGCTCCCGGAGGGCCGCCAGGGGGCTCCCGACACCTCCAGCTGCTCCCCCGGCTTCTGGCCTGCCCCTGCTCGCGTCGCCCTTCCTGCACCCCACGGGCTGTAGCATGACACTGCCTCACTACCACAGAGGAGACGCCTCCTTTCTGGGCTCCCTGACACCTCGCTCTTCCCCCTGGGCTGGTGGCTGGAACCCAGGTTCCTGCAACAGGGCCGGTGTCTCGCTTCGGCCACTGCTCTGAGGCCCCTGGGCCTCCTTGGGCCGGGGCCAGCTGATGCGTTGTCCTGTAAGAGGCCCAGCAGTGCCATAAGCTCAGGGCACAAAGGGGAGCTTCATGCAGGAGCGGGGTAAGCCTGTGGAAAGGCAGCTCCGAAGGCCTGGTTTCCCTGTGCCTGGCCGTGTGGCCTGGCTGGGGAGATTGTGGTGAGAGGGACAGACCCGGACACCCTGCGCTGGGCTCCTCCCCGCCGCCTCCGCTGATGGCGCCTGTGGCACGTGGGGCTGAGGAGTGGGCTGGCGACAGACGGTGACCGCACCTCTCCTGTCGGCCTAGTGGTGTCCATGAAGCCGAAGGTGTACAGCCGCCAGTCCCGAATCAACAGCTACGTGGAAGTGACGGTGGATGGACTTTCCGGCGAGACCAAGAGGACGGGGAAGCGGACTGGGAGCTCCGAGCTGCTCTGGAACGAGATCCTCACCCTGTAAGAGCCCCTGCTGCCTCCTGGGGCTGTAGGAAGGGGCGTGGGGCAAGGGCAGGCACCTGGGGGAAAGCATTAGAAATCTCAGTTCCCAGGGGAGGGGGTTGTGCTGGGCAGGAAGGTTTGGGGCTAGCAGGAGGGGCTCTGGCTGCCTGGTGTCCCTGTGACAGCCCTGATTTCTGGCTGTTGTGCCTGGCCTGTCTGAGGCTTCCCTGCTGGCCACAGCACTGCTCAGTACCAGCGTGCAGAGGAGAAGCTGACAGCTGTACTCTTGGCTTCCCTTTCAGGAATGTCACCTCCCAGAGTCTCCTGGATCTGAAGGTCTGGAGCTGCCACGCCCTGAGGAATGAGTTGCTGGGCATGGCCTCCATCAACCTAGCTATCCTCCTGAAGAGCAGTGGGAAACGTATGTACGAGCAGCCTGTTTTGCCCCGTCTGCGGCTGGAGGGGGCAGGGAGGAGGCCATTGGGGGAGGTGGGGCCTCCTTGCCCGAGCTGGGCCTGGCAGTGCGGCACCCACCTCTGAGGGGCGCTGTGCTCTTGTCAGCTGCTGCTCTGCGGTCCTGCAGGATTTCCTGCCTCAGTAGGTGTGACACGGAGGAGGAGTAGCTGGCTGGAACAGCTCCCTACTGAAACTCTGGCCCCAGGAGAGAACAAGGCACCATTGTGTGCGGCTGGGCCAGCCTGTCAGGGGCGCGGGGGTGTTAGCCAGGGTGCTGCTGCCTGTGCAGAAACACAAACCCCTCTGCTATTTGCTGCCATTTGTGGTCACTAGCGTGCGGCCCAAGGCGGCAGCCCCTGCATAAAGGCCTCCATTCAGGGCCCAGGCCTTGCTAGTGGCTGCTCAGGGCAGGAAAAGGCTTGTGCTGTCTCTTCCAAGCTAAGCTCTGCTGGTCTCGAAAGACAGACCAGGTATTGAGAGGGGAGCGGGGCCTCTGGCCTCCCAGGGGGCTGGGGACTGGTGCCTGGTGCTGGGGTGAATCGCTTCCTCTGGCATCACCCATCACACAGTAGGAAACAGCCGTGGTGTCCCCAGCATGCTCCTTGGGGCTCGTGGCTGTGAGCTGGGCCTGACACAGCCTCTGCCTTCTGGGCTGGGAGTAGGGCGGGGTCACAGGGGCAGTGCTGGGGGCAGATTCCTTAGTGTGTGGGGGCCTGCCCCTGCCATCCTCTGTTTCTCGGGGCCTTGGGGTTGTCTGTGGCCAGTTACTGAGGCCCTCCTTGCTCTGACATGGGGCAGGGGTAGAGGGCTGGGTGTCAGCTCTTTGGGGGAAGTAGACTGCTGCCTTCCCCACTGCCCGTGGCCCTGGCCCCCACGTGTGCCTCGAGCTGTATGTCCTGGCCTGGGCTGCTCTGTCTGGCTGCTCCCAGGGCTGCCTGTCTCCGGGCTCAGTGGAGGACCGCGCGTGTGCTCCCAGTGCCGTGGCCTGCTCCCGCCCTACCTGCACGCGTCCTTTTGCCAGGGCACAATCAGCCCTTTCATTAAGCTGCGTCCCTGGGGGGCCACGTGAAAAATGAATGGAAAAGGCAACTGGCTGTTCTCGCCCGCGTGTTAGCACGGCCCAGAAGTGTGAGATTTTTCCCTGACATGGAGGGCGGGTTCTTAAAGTGGCAGCACAAGGCCCTGCCGGAGAGGTGCTGCCTGGGTGGGGAGCTCACGCTCCTTGCCCTGCTGGGACCTCCACCCGCTCGTCTAGCCAGCTGGTGACGTGGGCGGCTTCATCATGGCCTCATCTGCGGGTAGCGTGTCTGCTCTTCTGGGAACCCTGTGATGGCTGTGGGCTTGCTGGCCTCGTGAGAGGATTGTTCCCCGGGTTTGGGCGGGGGGGCAGAGGCTTGGGTCTGAGTGCACTTGCTGCTGGGACAGTGGGCAGGCTCCTCGATGGGAGTTTTCCTGTGGGGCACGGCATCCCTCTGAGGCCTCCCCTGCGCACAGGGGCCTGCCCGGTGGCGGCGTGGGTGCAGAGCTCTGATACGGCTTCTCGCAAGTGGCCAGCATGAGCTGACAACCTCAGCCCCGCTTTCCTGTGGTCTCTGGCAGGCTGGGCAGCCTCAGCAATGGCCCTGAGAGTATCCAGGGGCTCTGCTTGCTAGGGTTGTGCAGATTTCCCACCCCCGTGCTGAGTGTGGCGTGCTGCAGCCTCCTGGGAGAAGGACTCCGGGTTTCTGAGGAGCCCGGGTTGTGAGGAAAGGGCTCCACAGTGTGTCTGCCAGGACTCGGTGCTCAGGCCAGCCCAAGTTGAGCCAGGCTGAGAGGAACGAGCTTCAGAAGCCAGTGCCTGCTCCAAGGGGCAAAGCCGCATTTTCCAGGCTCCCTTCTCTCCCCGTTCCCTTGGCAGGCTCCTCTGAACCTCCCTGCTCAGCCTCTGCTATGGCCAGGCGGAGCTCGGTGCTCTGGGTGGGGGTGGGGAGCTGCCTAGGAAGGCAGTGAGTTGGGTAAAAATAGGTTTAATCATGGAAAACAAGCCACAGCCTTCTGTGGAGCTGCTCCCAGGGCTCCATTAAAACAGCTAATTTACAATGGCGTAACCCCTGCCCCGGGCCCCTGCGCTGCTGCTGCCTGCCAGAGAAGGGGCTCTTTGTTCAGAAGCTGCCAGGGCAGGAGGAGGGTCCCTGTGTGGCCCTTCTGTATGCACACCAGTACTGGGCCATGCTGGTTTTGGCCAGTGCCTCCAGCATTCGTGCCACAGAGCTATGGACAGCAAGGCAAGCACTGGAGTGGCTCGGGCTGGCCAGGCTGCAGCAAAAGCTCCTGCTTTTACAACTGACTGCTCAGGTTGCAAGTTATATCAACAGGCTCCTGTTTCCCGAGTGGCAATGTGTGCGTATGGGTTACAGCTCCCGCGAAGCCTGTGCTTTCCCTTGAGCCCCACCTTAGGCAGCGCAGCTGGAGCCACAGCTCTCGGGAGCTCTATCCAGAAGACAGCAGCACCCCAGACGGCGGGGAGTAGGGAGCCCCACACCACTTAGCAAGGGCGCTGTCGGAAAGCAGAGTCGGAGCTCTGGGAAGGCACGTGTCCAGGCTGCCTGGCAAAGACTCCAAACACGCTGGCTCTGGCACTGCCGGCATCATGCTCCTACAGGCTGCTGGGCCAGACCAGCAGGTCACAGCGGAGGCTGGGCTGAGCCAGCTCTGTGCTGCCCTTCGAAGGTCACTGTGCTGTGGGAGTGCTGCGGAGCTGACAGCGCCTGGGACTAGGCCGTTAGGGCAGGCCTAGATGCCTGCCTTTGGCTGCATCCGCTCGGTAGAGCACGGGAGCAAGGAGGCTTCCTTTTCTCTGCTTCAGGGCCCAGTCCTTTGGTCCTTCCCATGACTGTTCATCAGGGAGCTGGCATCTACTTGAAGCCTGTGGGCTTGCTGCCCCAACAGTGGGTCAGTGCACAGAGGCATGGGGAGGGGAGAGGAGCTGCGCAACCCCTTGCACTTGCACTTGCTGATCAGCAGTTGAGGTTACGGAGCAGGTGCCACCTGTGACTTCTCCAGCAGGACTCACCCAGCACAGCCTGAAACGCTTTCCCACTCCTGCCTGCTCAGCCTTTCTGGCCCTTGGGCTGAAGGACGGAGGCTGGAGCAGCCCTGGCATTGGAGGCTGGTGACACAGCTTGCCGCTGGCCCTGAGAATGAAGGCTCTCCCTCTCTCGGGTCACTTTGCAGTGAGAGTCCAGCTTCCTACCCTCTGCCCAGCACTGCAGAGCCCCCCGTCCCCCTTTCTTCCAGACAGTTATAGGGTCTGAGCTGCCCTGGCTTCCACCCTCCGAGCAGGGGGCAGCACACTCCGTGGCCAGGCTGCTGGCTGGGCAGCGAAGCCCATTGGGTGATGGCTGGCAGCCACTGCCACGGCTGTGTCTGAGCTGACTCTGACCTTGCGTCCAGTGCAAATGCAGAGGGCAGGACCCCCTGCATGGGAGGGCCGTGTCTGAAGCTCCCTCTGTCCGCATGTGAGCTGGCCTGAGCCATCCCTCTGCAGAGAAGAGGTCCTCGTTTGGAGCTGCTCCCCCCGCTTCTAAGTGGAAGGTATTGTGATGCTCACGCCAAGGAGCCGTGTCAGACGCATGCTGTTACCAGTGCTCCCTCTGGCTCCTGACTCAGCCCAGAGCCTCTGTTGTGGCTTCTGCTACCAGCCTTGCTCCGGGGACCTGTAAATCCACTTAATGGACTGGATGGGAATTCCAGACAGCCTGTGCTAAATGAGAGTAGTGATGTCGCATGCAGGGCACCCGTAGCCGCAGAACTGAGGCCATATTCAGGCCCGAGTAGCCCCCAGCCCCTTCCCAGAGTAGCGACCCCACGCGCCTCTGGCTGCTTGCTGGGACACAGGCAGGCTTTGTGCACGGCCGGTCGGGGGACTCTGTTGACGTAGCAGTGCGTCCCACGTGCTGGGAGGGGACACTGAATGGAAGGTTCTGCCAGTATTTATTTTCCTTAAGCAACCGATTTGGAGACGCTTCGCCTTGGCTACCGAGCCATCTTCAGCAGCTTTGCAGTGTGGGCCTGTGCAGCCCCCTCAGAGAGCGGCTGCCTGCAGCCGAGGGGACAGAGCCTCAGTGTTTGGTGGGACAGGACTTCCTGAGGGCTGGCAGAGGCAGGAGAAGCCAGGGACAAGCAGACTTCTGCTCGTCGCAGCATCCTGTGAGCTTCAGAGCATGGGGAGGTGCATTGGGGTTTGCCCCTTTGTGCTGATCAAAATGGTGAGGCTGAACACATCACTTGCCTGGAGTCCCACAGGGGATGGGGGCCAGTGACAGGGCCTGGGGGGAGCTTGAAGTCTCTTGACAATGGCTGAACAGCATGTCACGTGTGGGAGACTGCTGTGGGGCGGACTTCTGTTGGGCCTGGTGGTCTCCAGTCCCCTGGGGCCAGCTGCGCAATAAGCAGGGTCTTGTTTCTCCCTACCCTGAGCATCCCAGGGTTGGACCTGGTACGGGGGGCAGGGGAAACTGGCTGCCAGCCGAAGACCACGATGCCCAGCTCTGCACAGCTGTGGCTTTCCTGCCCGACAGTGACATGCTCTCCAGCTGGGAGCAGATGCTGGCCTCACTGAAAACGGATGTGCCTGGAGAGCCCAGGGCCATCCATACTTCCCCCTGCCAGCAGGATACTGCTGTTCAGGGCAGGTGAAACTGGGCAGAGAGGTCCCAGGTCCAAGGAACCGAGCTGCCCCAGCTCCCATGGCAGTCCATGGGAGCCCTGGCCCAGGCTGCGCCATGCCTCTGAGGCTAGGGTCAGCTCACCCCCGGGCTTGCCCCAGCTGGTGCCAGTGATGGGCCTGATCGTCATTGGACAACTGGGAGACTGGCAAACCTGCTGCAGCCCCAGGCTGTTCCTATCTAGGGCTTATTGCCTCTCCTGAGTGCTGGGCTGAGCTCTGTCGCTTCCCCCTTGCCCCCTTCCCCTCCCTTGCTTCCAGTCTGGTGTCGCCTGCAGGTTTCATGGGGACCTCAGCAGTCCCCAGAACGCCTCAAAGCACACGCTCCGTGGCCAAGGTGCGGGCAGATCCAGGTGGCGCAGGAGAGGGCAAATGCTGCTGCTGCTGCCGTTATTACCACATCCGGCACCATAGAGTGCCATACAGGGCAGCGCTTGCCCTCAAGTGTGACACTGGCTGGCAGAGCCATGAGTGGTCCCTTGCTGACAGTGAGGCAGCGCAGATTGGCTGCAGGGGTCCTGAGCACAGCATCTGCAGCGGGGAGCATGGCAGGGGTGCAGGGAGTGTCCAGCCTGGGAGCAGAAAGCCAAGGACGTGAGCAAGCCAGGAGAAGGGGAGCTACAAGTATGCCTGGGTGTGCCAGCCAGCCTGCTTCTGGCCCCCATCACAGCGCTGCAGCCTCAGCTGCATGCGTGTGTGTGTATGTGGGTGCCCCACCACGCCTAGTGAGCCCTGGCCTAACCCCAGCCTGGTGGCTGCTGCAGGGGGGGAGGCTGGCTGCCAGAGCAGAGCAGGCATGTCACTGAGTCATGCGTGCGCAGTACAAATATTATCTGAGTGAACTCGTCGGGAAGTGTCTGGGCCAGAGTCCCAGGCCAGGTCAGCCACATCCCTCCGGCTGAATCAAGGCAGTTGTGTTCACGTTTCACCATTGCGGGCGCTTGGCAATGGGCAGTTGTCTTGCCTGGGGTTAGGGATGCTGGTCCGGCTCCTGGCCAGCTTCGTGGTTTGGCCAGGGCCATGCAAGAGACTGGGCAGGCAGCAAGAGGGCCTCAGGCTGGGCAGTGCACAGCCACTGCTCCACCCCTTGTTCGCGCAGGAATCGTGCTGCTCTCTGCTGTGTGGGTGCTGCAGCAAGCTGGCTCATGGCCTGGAGGGCACTGGGGGAGGCTGCAGGTCTCTTGTCTGCTCTTGTCATGGAGCGGTTCTCAGAGATGTCCAGCAGCTGCGCAGCCTCACCACGCTGACGGCTGACACTCGCCTTCCCGGGCCCACCCAGTGCTACTCTGGCTGTACAGGGGAGAAGAGTAGAGCTGTGTTCACAGGACAAAGCCGAGGTGGCCATGTTATGCAAGCCTCAAGCTGCTGAGAGCCACAAGAGCCAGTACAGAGGGTGTGGAGGCAGTGTGGAGCCTCTCACATGCCGGGCACATTCTGCCAGCCTGCCCTTGGGGCTGGTTCCTGGCTGGGCCCAACTCAGCAGATCCTATTGGTGCCTGGCACAGGGCTCTCTTGCTGCTTGCCTTCCTCATCCAGGGTATCTGCCTTGTACAAGTGGAGCCATGACATGACCTGTGCTGCATGTAGACCGTGCACCTTGAATGGGGGGTCAGTTCCCTGCTGCCCTCTGGAGAGGATGAGTCTCCCAGGTTTCCAAGAGCAGGGTGGGCAGTTGTCTGTCCAGGATGGGCCAGGAGCATCCTGTGTCTGTGCAGGGGTTGGGCTGGATGTCTGCAAGGCCCCTTCCAGCCTGCAGCAGTTCTGTGAAGAAGCCATGGCCAGTGGGAGCAGCTTCCTGGGTAGGTTGGGCGCGCTGGCTGGGGCCACATGGCATGGCAGGCTGTGCTGCTGCTGCTGCTCCTGGCGCTGCAGATGCCCGGGGAGGTGACTTCCTTCTTGAGCTGTGCAGGGAGAGGCCACAGGCCAAGGGTGGGGACTGGAACCCCTTGGCGGAGGTTGTGCCCCCTGAGTGACAAGCTACCTCCAGTGGCAAGTCCATCTCAGTCTCTTCCTCTGTGTCCCTCTGTCTCCCACAGTAGAGAACACGCAGCTGATCCTGAACCTGCAGACGGAGAACAAAGGCAGCGTTGTCTCTGGCGGAGAGCTGACGATTTTCCTGGACGGGCCGACTGTTGATCTGGGAAGCCTGCCTAATGGCAGTGCCGTGACAGAGGGTGAGTACCGCCCATCTCCACCAGCAGGCTGCAGCTTGGAGCGTGAGGTGGCAAATGCCAGGGGACAAGGCTGCCAGGCTGAGATGGCAGCTTGGAGGACCTGCCAGCACATCTCCAAGTGCAGGAGCTGTATCCTCTTCCAAAGAAGGCTCCTGTCCCGGCCTGCGTGCCCACAGGACTCAGCCCAGCTGCTGGGAAGTCTTCCAAGGTCTCCTGGGGAGGGCAGCTCCAGGCCTACCATGGATGTGAGGGCATAGGTGTCCTTGGGGCCCTTTGCCTACAGCAAGTCATGACCTGGGGACTCCCTGTGCTAGAAAGGTGCAGAGCGAGGACAGGTGGAGGGACGCTGGCTGAGAAGCCTTGCAAGGGGACAAGTGGAAGGCATCAGACACTGGACAGTGTTCCTGGCCTGGGATGAGAAGGTTAGGGGCAGACTCCCCATGCCCTGACTTGGAGGGTGTTTACCTGTTACTTGTGCTGAGTTCAGATCCATAGCAAGTTGTGGGTGCCAGCACGCCCATGGGCCCAGCATCCTCAGCGCATAGAAGGGTTCTGCAGGCCACGAGTGGAGCCACATGTATGGGTAGCCCAGAACTAGTCCGGGTCACAGGAGCTGTCCTGGCATGAGGTCCTTGGGGCCTGGCAGAGCTGCGTGGTGGAATGTAGCCCAATGCACACCCATGCTCTTGTAGGCCCTGTGCCCTTTGGCAGGTCTTGTCCTCGAGTTCCCTGGGCAGAGGCCCCAGGAGAGCAGGGGACACTTGCCTGTTGGTGCTTTCCCTTGGACAGGCAGCAGCTGTCACACTTGCCATGGGTCCTTACCTGCTGGCCTGTCTGCATCGACATAGCGCTTGTCTGCTTTCTCATCTCTTTCCCCTTTAATTGCCCAGGGTCCCAGCTGCCCAGACAGGACTCCAGCAGCACTGCGGCAGCTGCAGAAAGCCGCCACCAGCCTCCCAGCACCAAATGCTTTGGCAGCAGGTCCAGGTAAGGACCTGGGTGATGCCCGCTACTAACCCATGGATGGGGCAGGTGGGGGTGTCCTGCAGGAGTTTGCAGTGGAGATGTTGGAAGGCTTGGGGCAGGGGCCCGTCTGGTGGGGACGGCTGCCCTGAGGCGAGGGATGGGCTTCATGTACCTGGCCTCTCAGGAGGCATAGGCAGGACTGAGTCAGCCTTTCCCAAGCACAGCGCAGGCACCTCCCTGCAGCACTGAGGCACGTGGAACCCCCAGCACGTGCCTGTCTTTGCACCAGCTGGCCAAACACCTGAGGGCCTTGGGCAGCCCTTGCACGTCAGTTGTGTGCTTGGCATTCGGGCCTAGGGCAGAGGTGATGTGTGATTCCACTGCGATCCTGACCGCTTGTTAGCAGCCCGGGCCCGGGTCGTTCTGGGCCTCATTCTGCAGGTGTCACAAACCAAGTGTGCCAGGCCCTGGGCAGTGCTTGGCTAGAAGGCCTCCGCCGTGGCTGCAGCCACCTTGGCTGGTGGAACGCTCCCTGCAGGGCGCTGGGGCTGGCTGTGCTGTGGCTTGTGGCAGAGGGTCCAGTGACTCATGTCAGGCACTAGAGATCCTACAGCACTTCTTGCTGGGTGGGCATGCATCTGCCTGCATCCAAGTTTGGGTATCTATATTCTGTCATCTCTGAAATTCAGTCCTCACTGAGCATAGGTGGACTTCCACGTGGTGTGAAACAGCTGCTGTGCCTGCCATTTTGGTGGCCAGAGCGAGCCCTGCACACGCATGAGGGAAGTTTGGGAAAGGCTGCATTTCTTTGTAGAGTGGGATTTATTTCCATAGGCTCACTGAGGACTGCAGACCTCCCTGAAAGGCTGGATGGAAAGAAAAGGGTTACTTGTCCCCCCCACCAGCTCTTTCTGCCTGGCCTTCTCGAGGGAAATTGCTGGGTCGTTTTCTTCCCAGCACAAGCGGTGCTTTGGGAGCTGCTGGTAAACTTGGGCTTGGGGTGTGAAATTCCACAGTCAACTGTGCAAAGAGAAAATAAAGAGGCAGTCATTTGTGCTGGGGGGAGAGGCTGCGAGAGGCGGGCGTTGTGTGAGGGGGGCTGTGCTGACTGTGGGGCGGGTCTCGTCCTTAGTCTTGCTCCCTGCAGCTGGCCAGCGTGCAGCACCTGGGTCTGGGTGCAGGCACGCAGGGTTTCACTCCCTCGCCCTGGTGCTTGGGGGAGCAGCACAGGTTTAGTGTTGCTGCTTTGCTGGGGCTGAGGCCTCGCTCCCTGGCTAGCGATGGCTTCTGGGGACACGTAGAGCCAGCACCACTGGGTCGCTCTTCTCCCTGCCTCTGGTTGTCATGTGTAGCCCTGGACATGCCCCCAGCACTTCACATGTGGTTCTGCAGCCCTCCCAGCCCCAGAGGCTGGCAGCGAGGCGGCAGACAAAGCCTGCCAGACATCTGGGTCACAGGCGTGTGGCCCAGGGGCAGCGGGAGATGATAGCAGCAGCACGTGCTCCTTAGCAGAGCTCCTGGTGGCTGGAGAGTGCTCCGAGGAAAGCAGTGATGAGCCCAGCCGGGAGGCTGAGAGACTGCAGGCCAGTGCAGGACCAGGGTGTCCAGCAGCCTGCTCGTACTGGTGAAGCGCCCATGTCCCCAGCACATGGCTGTCCTTTAGGAAAGGGTCCCTGGCACTGCCTCATGAACACCTGCTCTGCCCAAGGACGGTGGGAGGCTGGCGCTGCTCCATGCCCAAGGCTCTGTGCTGCTGCTCCCTGTCCTGCGAGCAGGGGCCAGCGCTGGGCACAGAGCGCTTGGCCTTGCTGCCTCGCATGGACCAGAGGAATTTCTCAGCTCCGCGTTCCTGGCCCTGAGGTGTGGCGCTGGGGCTGTGCCTCCTGTGCTCCGCCGCTGCCCTGGCGTGGGCTCCCTAGCACTGCTCCTGCCTGCCCAGAGCCGGGTCCGCCATCTGCCCTTACTCTTCCCAGCTGCCCTGCGGGCGGCCTCTGGGCTGGGTGAGGGCCACAGCTTGCCACAGCCCCTGCCCCGAGGCCATGGAGCAGCCCCCTCTGTCTGGCTCTGAGCACAGAGAGGATTAGGTTATGCAGGACCCCAAGGAATGGGGGTTTGGGACTGGGCCTCAAGACCTGCCAGGTGGATGAGGCTGGGGTTCTTCTTCCGGCTTGTCCTCCTATGTGGGGAGAATGGGCTGGTGGGTGCACCTTGTGAAGCCGGGGGCTGGCACATGCCATGGCTCCCAGCACCGGTGGGCTGCCCGGAAGCACTGTGGCTTCTGCCAGCCTTGGCCCCACTTCCGCCCCATGGGTGGCTAGCAGGGCTCCGAGAGCCCGTTCCCAGCACTGCTCAGCCTTGTTTTTTCCCTGCTCCTATTTTAAGCACTCGTTCCCAGCCCAGTCCTTGTCACGTGGCTCCACTGGGTGTATTTCCACGCTGCTATTAAAAGACAATGCCCAGATGGGAGCGTCTGTAGGAGGGCCAGGCTGGCAGCCTGGCTAATTTGGGCCTGGTGACCCTGTGCGGCCGGCTGGCAGCCGGAAAACATCCTGTTTTGGTTTCTAAAAACTCTCCAGGCAGCTTTTAGCTGCTCCGCGTGGAGCAGGGTGGAGATAAGGGCCCGTCGTGTGCCTGAGCATCTCTACTCTGGGGGAGTGGGGGAGGGTGTGGGTTGCCCATCTGGGGTCAGAGCTCTGTCCTAGCGGGTTCTGCTCAGTGAGGCTGAGCCTCAGAGGTGTCCAGTGGCCTTTGCTCCAGCAGGCCCGAGCTGCCTTGGCCTGCTGAGCTGTCGTCAGCCCTTTGCAGGCTGTGGGCAGCTGAGAAGTTGGGGGCGAGGTGTGCAAGGGCCCCTGGGGTGAGGACTGACCGCTGGGGCCAGGGAGGGGCAGACTCCTGGCTCCCCTGCCCTCAGGGCCAGGCCACCCCCAGCCCCACGCACAGCTGCTGAGAGCAGAGTGCCCGGCTGTCCCTAAGGGCTTGTCCCAGCTCTGCGGGTGTGGCACGATTGATGTTCTGGCCCCGTTGCTGCCAAGCTGCCGCCCTGCTTGGCCGAGCCCGGAGACCTCCGGACACATGGAGAGTTTTGCCCTTTTAAGGGGAATTGCTTGGCTAGAATAAACTGGCCCTTTATTGCTCCTCTACCCTTCCCCCTCCCTGCCCTCTGCTGCCAGCATCTCTGGCCTGAGCTGGCTGAGCTGCACCATAGCACTGGTCCAAGGGCTGGGGCTGAGGCCTGGTTGCTCTATCCCATGCCAGCACAGAGCAACGGTAACAACAGAGTCTACTGGAAACTGCTCTGAATGCAAGTCCATGTGCGCAGGTCGGCATCTCCAGCCCTTCCCCAGCCCCAGGGACGGACCTGCCTGTGCAGCCTTCAGGCTCCTGGTGGCACTTCTCCTCGTCCCTGGCTCAGCTTCTGCCAGCCCCAGGTCCACCCTGCTGCCCACCCTGTTTGTGCTTGTGCTCCCTCCAGCAAGGACAGCTGGGCTCCATGGAGGCCTTGCGGGTCTAGTCAGCTCCAGGGAAAGGAGGTGACGGTCTTGTCCACCCTGCAGCCCAGGGCCAGTGTGTCAGCGGTTACAGGCACAGCTGCCTCTCAGCTTGCAGTCAGCACAGCCCTGGGCTGAGACTGGCAGCTGTGGCATTTCGTAAGCCAGTGTCCCACTCTTGCCAGAGGCCATTACTGGTACATGGTTATCTCCCCAGAGCTAGCTCAGTCCAGACAGGGCCTCTAATCATGTTTGTGTAACCAGGGGCCAGGCTGGCCCTCTTCCCTCCAGTGACGCATCCCAGACATCCCCAGTTGGTGACTGGTAGGTGAAGACTGGGAAACCCCTGGACCATGGCCCAAGGCGTCTCTTCCTCCAGGAAGGGCTGGTGTCAGGGGGGCCGTGCAGGCATACGTCACTGCAGAGCAGCGGGTCTGTCAGAGGGCGGGGGGTTGAGTTGCTTCACAAAGGGGACGGTCGGCAGTTAGGATCTGCCAGATCAGAGGGGTTGGCAGGGTGCATCTGGGGGAAAAAGCCCAGGAACTAAGCCCAGCCCCTGAGCAGGAGGGGTGAGGAGCTGCCATCCCAGGCCAGGTGCTCCTCTCACCCACTGCACTGCATGTCTCTACCCACATACAGAACGCACAGACACACAGCGGGAGCAGCCAGGCAGAATGCGGGGAACGGCGAGGCCAGCCCCAGCACCAGGACACGGCACCAGCAGCTAGCCAAGAGCCAGAGCCAGGGCAGCACAGTGAACGGCACAGGTGAGATGTCCCGCTGGTGAGATGTCCTGAGCAGAGGGCAGCCGGCGAGTGGTGCTTGGGGCACCTGTGAGTGTAGACGCACTCGCTGCATCCAGCTTTCTCTGCACCATGCAGTGCGGCCCATGGCTGCCCTTGTTTCATAGGGGGTGTTCCACGAAGACCACCATTCCCAGCATGAAATGCTGCTTCTGCATCCAAATAACCAGTCTGCAGCCCATGCTGGAACCTGTGCTCCCCCCAGGCTGCTCTGTCACGTCAGGTGGCAGAGCTCCTCTCCCCACCAGCACCTTGCTGGCTCGTGTGCCACGTGGGCGCAGCCTGTCCCTGCAAGTGCCAAGGTTGTGGACCAGCCAGGCTCGCTGCCACAGAATGGGCCCTGGATCCCTGGTGACACCCAGCATCTGGCCTCTGGGCTGAGACTTTGTGCAGACATGGTGGGAGCACCTCCTTCCCGCCATTGTGCGTGTGAGCGCCACCCTCCTGCCCAGAGGCAGAGCCCAGGCTGGTAGAGGCTCACAGGGCTGCAACATTCCCGTGTTGAAAGAGCCTGAGGCTGTATGTGGGTAGGAGCAGGCAGGCAACATCCTGCTGGTGCCGCCTCTCTCCTCCCTTCAGCTGCCCCTCTTGGTCCCTGTGGCCTCCGTGCACTGTTCAGTGGAGTCCAGCACCAGCTGGCTGTATCAGGGCTGGGCAGTGTGCTGAGCTGACCCTTCTCAGGTCCATGGCACCTCCTGATGTGTGCCAGCACATTTTTGAGATCTCTGCCCTTTGCCTGAATTCACCTAGGCTGTGGGGACGCTGGAGAGGGAGTGCCATCATCCCTCTACAGCCCCACTCCAGGGACGTGTCCATCCCACCCGGCCTGCGGAGATGGGGTGCAGGCAGCAGCAGCAGGTCCTGGCTTGAGATTTTCCCCACCCCTGTGGCGCTGGTGTCTCTCCCTTTGCAGAGGGCTGCAAGCTCCCTGAACATGGGGCTGTGAGGGTCCCAGCTTGGAGCTGGGGTTTCAGTAGCAGCAAGCCACCCCTTCCCTCTATGCTGATTTCTGCCCTCTGCCTTTCTAGTGAATGGCGACTCTGCAGGGGCCACCGACACTGAGGAGGAGCGGTCTGCAGCGGGCACAGCCTCCCCACCAGCAGCGGCATTGAGTGCGACTGGCAGCGCCATGGCAGGCGGGCCCCCCGCCG